CAGAGTTCCCAGAGTAAACATTTGTCATTCGAATGCTGTGGGAGATGTGAGCATGGCCTTCTATGTCAGGGGTAACGACCAGCGCTAACAAGGCATGGATATCTTTTTAGCACAGCCGCAGCCTCGCGGATAACCGCTTTTCTGAGCATAAGGTGAATCCGGGCTGCTTTCTGTGACCCCCTGTCACTCGCTGAATTAAGGATTTCAGAAATTTACTGAAGGGCTAACCCATGTCTGGCATTCTCGTGAACAGACAGCAAAAAGCATGCCTACCAGTATTGGTGGCAGAATTGACTTTTTATCAGTATGCAAACAAAAGCTGCTACTTTAGAAGCCAGAGGTGTAATAGGGTGCAGTTCAGTGACCACATCGGATACACTGTCTCAAGCACCGTACTACTGTCTTTCATCTGCACAATAAACTGCTTAGCTCTTCCCAGAAAAATGCATGTACACATTGCTTGGCTTTAGTAGAGAAATCTAGCAGGCAATGAGCAGACCACTTACTCAGCTTCCTCATGGTCGATTCTCCTCCAATAGGCAGGCATCATGCAAATATAGGTTTTATCAATTAAAGTTTTCACTAATGTTTAATAAGATTTGTGCGTTAGGCAATAATCAGATCTGTTTAAAAACCACGTAGTGTCCCTTATAGTAATACGAATTACTAACACTGTTTATTTTTATGTGACAGATATCTCATCTTTACTGCCTAGCCAGTAGCTCAAACCCTAGACACGTGTTTCTCCGATGTTTTTAATTTCCGCATTTTTCTCATAATTATAGCAAATGTAAAAGGCGGTCAAAACACAAGCAGGGCCTTCTTTTTACTAAATTTAATGCTGGACAAGCAGGGAGAAGGGAGATTTTAATATGCTACAGTTGCCGGTTCTCCACGTCTGAAGACGTCCTGGGGAACCAATGTTGAAATCTATGCAATAATGTTTTTGCTTACACCTTGGTACACTTTTTCTGTGCATTATTTATATAAGGCTTTTCAGCTCATGAGATATCGTGACTGAAATATAATATCGTATATTGCCAAACAGCGAAGATCATTTCTGCGAATTTATTCAAGAGGCAGACAGTCTTTTCCTGCATTAAATATAAGGGAGATTTGGATTATGTTAGGCCCAATCGGACGTTTCCACATATTTTGCTTTGAAAGAATTACCACACGCCTTGATTAAATAAAAGTATATCGGCTCAGAATTGCGAAATTTTGAGTTTGTGATCCGAAATAAGACATCAGAGGCCCAGTGTAAAAGAAAGATCTACGAGCCGCAACTTGTATTTTCTATTCAAGCCCGGAGACCCTTGAACGCGAAGGACTTCAGCATCCTTAAACGTTTTCAAAGGCGTTTTTCAAAGGTTTACAACCATATGCAACGCGGTTAGCTAATTTTGATCCCTTTTCCTTGAGTTAGAGGCAGTTTTGGGGTGACCTGATACAAGCCTTCCGTATCATGCGCGGTCAGGACTACAGCCTCTCTCCAGGGGACTTCTTCGAGCTAGCAACCAACACAAACTTAAGAGGTGATTCATTTAAACTACGTGTAACAGTGACCAGGATGGCCACACGAAATTTAGTCTTATCTAAAAGAGTACTAGATGTTTCGAACATACGCCTTTGGCTGACATTATGTCTGCTTCTGTTGAGGTCTATAATAGGAAGCTGGATTTGTATGAAAGGCGTTATATTGAAAAAATTGAAAACGAAATGCGTAGATCTATACGACCACATACTTTGAGTAATCTAATCGAATCCTTCAGTTTACTGGACGAACCATGGAATATCAAAACCTTAACTATAAAAAATTTCAATTACAATGATAGATACAAATCTCCCTTTTTTACGTTTGAGCTATGAATACAGTTGTAATATTACAGGTTAATAATTGTAAATAATGTTTAAAAAATATCCTTGCAACAGGCCAGGCAGTAACATGTCATGCTTAAAACTGTAACTTACACAACTTATTAACATAAAATTGCTCCTCAGTAGTCACTTAATAGTTTGGTTTATGTTAAGGCATAGCTGATATCTGTTGCAATATATAAAGCATTAGTTATTAACTGGCATGTTTTGTGTTTAAGAATACGACTAAGCGGCATACCACGCGGCAACTTTGAGCAATGTGATTTGCATTACTCGTCTTACTACTCTTAAGCCTTAATTGCATTTAAACGAACTTCTATCAAAACGCTTACATCTGCTGATGCGAACTTTGTGTTAACTTGTCGGATAAAGCTTGTGGTTTGACGAAAGCTTGGTAAATAAACTAAACCAGAATTTGGTGTTTCGAGTGCAGATACGGCATGGCTGTGATACCGCCGAGACCACGGCTTTTCAAACGCTGCGTGAACAAATGATAAGTTATCGTTTAATTATATTCCAATTGCTTAATTCGCACCTCGTTAGATTGAATTGTAATAGTACATTTTGACTGACGATAATTCGTCTGCTCTACACAGCATGTGCAATTACCGGAATTTTGTTGCTGAATTAAGTCTGCAAACATCTATGTATACGCCGCTTTCAACAACGATTAAAACGCACGATCTGTATAAAGGCTTAGAAGAGTTATTGAATGTAAATTAAATGAGGATTTGTAGGTTATGAAGATTTAATGTCATATCTAGTCATTCTCACTCTGCCTGTATCAAAGCGAAAAATTTCAACGCAGTACGTAAAAAACAAATTACTTGTGAAAGAAGGCGACATTAATGTTTAAACCAACGCGTTTGTTACTGTGTTAATTATCATCATAAGTACACGCGCCTTTCTTTATGAAACAAACGACGATAAGAAATAAATGCCTTAGCCGTTTATCACGCACATTAGCCGCAATCTAGGTAATTTCATGGATTTCAGTAACTTCAGGATCCTTGAGAGCTTCAACACAGCTTGCTTGTGGACGATGTTGTCATACGTAATTACTCCCCTTATTCTGCAACAAATATTTATAGGAAACACGTGTTTTAGTTTTTTAGACAATTAACAAATTTCGCAACTAGCAAAATCCAACCCAGCATTCGGTTTCAATTCTAACTCTCATGCTACTCTCTCTCGCATTGTGACTGTGAAAGTGTAGCGATAAATTGTCGCCTCTGTGGAGTTTCAGTAGAGACGTTGTCAATTATACATATGCTGCCTGCGTTTCTTTATTGCGTTACAGGCGAAATTTTATCCGCTCATCGAAATAGGCATTTGATCTGACAGTAATGTCGAATTCCACTTTCAGGTGCGAAATGTGGACGCAATTGCAGACTTCCTGCTCGCATCAAGCAGTCTGGCATAACACGAGCTACTTACTTTCAACGGATTGTCTTTTAAAGGCATTGACGAGAATGCCCGCAGACAACGTTGTAATCGCCTAACACCATGGAGGCAAGGTATGCTGCGTTGGATGGACGTGCTTGCGTTAGAGGCGTCCGCCAATGCATTGGTCATTTCGTGTTGCAAGTGATCAATATTTCTTCTAAAGTCAGAACGATTACGACGCTGTGGAACTTATATTCTATTCTTTATCATACCATTATTGGCAAAAACGGGGTGTAGGGGGTGTCAGCGGTGGGTTCACGTGATGGTCGTAGTGGTCGCTCACATGCTTGCAGGTGAGACTACGCCTAGCGTTCACTTGCTGGCACTCAACTCTCACCTGTGGCTCCACGTAGCTGGGCTCTGCTCAGCGGCCACACCCCGGGCAACCGCCTCGACCGGCGGGCTAAACCAGGTGAGGGCGCTGTGCGCTTGTGCCGCGTGCACAGTGTACTGCGGACTCCGCTGGACGTTTGGTCGGATGAAACGTTGCGCCGGCGTCGTCGAAACGAGGCTCTGTCTGGTACGCCGTTGGACAGCTGCTGCCGGGATGGGTCCCCGCATCGCCTTCGCTGAGACGCGCCCACCTACGCCGACGGAGACCACAGACCTCGGCATATGCGATCGTTCTCCACTACAAACATAAAGTCGTGGTCCCATAGTGGGATTCGGTCGCGCCAAACAGGCACACAGGCAGCCCGATTCGGGGGGCACTGCCTGTCCCCATTACGGGGGAGGGCCTAGAAAAGGTGGCCTTAACACTGCTGGGCACCACGCCGTCTCCAGGCTAGCCAGGGCCGCAGACGTCTAAACATGGTCGAAACACTCAAAACCGAAACAACAACAATACCAATAACAACAACAACCATACTCCTTCGCCTCATCCTACCTCTTCTACCTATATCTCCGTCTATTCTTCTGCCTATTCTCCTCCTTCGTCATCTTCTTCTCCACCTCCTTCCCGTCGCCCCACTCGTTTTCCCCAGACTGACTGGGTGAGCCCGCTCACTCTGGCAGCCTGGAATGTTCGTTCCCTTTTAGACAATCCAAGGAGCAACCGACCGGAACGGAGGACGGCGCTAGTGGCACGAGAACTGGCGCGCTACAAGGTGGACATCGCCGCACTCAGCGAGACCCGATTCTCCGAACAAGGCCAACTGGAGGAGGTGGGTGCCGGCTACACCTTCTTCTGGAGTTGTCGACCCAAGGCAGAGCGACGAGACGCAGGTGTCGCCTTCGCCATCCGGAACGACATCGTGGGACGACTACCCTGTTTGCCGCAGGGTATCAACGATCGCCTGATGAGCCTCCGTCTGCCTCTGCGGGGTGGGGGCAAATTCGCCACAATCATCAGCGCCTACGCTCCGCCGATGAGCAGCCCCGACGCCGCCGCAAGAGACAAGTTCTACGAGGGCCTGCACGCCCTCTTGGCGACTATGTCGAAGGCGGACAATTTGATTGTCCTTGGCGACTTCAACGCCCGCGTCGGCATAGACCATACAGCCTGGAGTGGAGTGCTGGGTCCTCAGGTCTCCGCGGCCCCAACGACAACGGCCTGCTGCTCCTCCGCACCTGCGCAGAACACCGCCTCATCCTGACGAACACGTTCTCCTGTCTGCCGGAGCGAGAAAAGGCCACCTGGAGGCATCCTCGGTCGCGTCAGTGGCACCTGCTGGACTATGTCCTCGTCCGGAGGCGAGATCAGCGGGACGTGCTGGTGACGAAGGCGATCGCGGGTGCTTGACGGGTGTACCGACCACCGCCTCGTCATCTCGAAGTTGCGTATTCGCCTACAGCCTCGCAGAAGACAACAAGGTAAGTGACCCCCAGGTAAGCTGAATGTTGCTTTGTTGTCTTTGCCTGCTCACCGTCTCCATTTCAGGAATGAGCTAGCTCAACGGCTAGACAACCTTCCTATCGCTGCCGCCGCCGACGACGCTGCCACCGCCGCTGCCGAGAACGCCTCCGTAGAGAACCGCTGGTGTCTACTGCGGGACATAGTCCAGTCGACGGCGGTCGCCGTCCTCGGTCGCGCTCCCCGCCAACACCAGGACTGGTTCGACGACAACGACGCTGCCATCAGCAATCTGCTTGCCGAGAAGAACCGCCTACACAAAGCCTACGCAGATCACCCCACTGAGGACAACAAAGCTGCCTTTTACCGCAGTCGCCGACAGCTTCAGCAACCACTGCGCGAGATGCAGGACGCCTGGACTGCTCGCAAAGCTGAGGAGATCCAAGGGTACGCGGACCGCAACGAATGGAAGAACTTCTTCTCCGCGATCAAAGCTGTCTACGGTCCGCCGCCGAAGGGCACTGCTCCTCTCCTCAGCGCCGACGACAGCACTCTCCTGACTGAGAAGACGCAAATCCTGCAGCGATGGGCCGAGCACTTTCGAGGCGTCCTCAACCGCCCTTCCGTCATTTCCGACGCCTCCATCGCCCGCTTGCCGCAAGTAGAGACAAACGTGGACCTCGACCTCCCGCCATCTCTCCAGGAAACGATCAGGGCCGTGCAGCAGCTCTCCAGCGGGAAAGCACCCGGATCGGACGCAATCCCTGCTGAGGTCTACAAACACGGAGGTCCCCTACTGATGGATCAGCTGACTGCGCTCTTCCAGGAGATGTGGCCTCAAGGTGAATTCCCGCAAGATTTCAAGGACGCAACTATCGTGCACCTTTACAAGCGCAAAGGGAATCGCCAAGTCTGTGACAATCACCGCGGCATCTCCCTACTGAACATCGGCGGGAAGATCTACGCTCGCATCCTGCTCAACCGCCTCAACAACCATCTGGAACAGGGCCTGCTGCCGGAAAGCCAATGCGGCGTCCGTCGTCATCGTGGGACCACGGATATGATCTTCGCAGCCCGCCAACTTCAGGAGAAGTGCCAGGAGATGCGGACCCACCTGTACTCTACCTTCGTGGACCTGACGAAAGCCTTCGACACGGTGAATCGTGAAGGACTGTTGAAGATCATGCAGAAATTCGGCTGTCCGGAGCGATTCACTCAGATGGTGCGTCAGCTGCACGACGGTATAATGGCGCGAGTCACGGACAACGGAGCTGTCTCAGAGGCATTCGCAGTGACCGACGACGTGAAGCAGGGCTGTGTGCTGGCGCCTACCCTCTTCAGTCTTATGTTCTCTGCTATGCTGATGGACGCCTACCGCAACGAACACCCTGGAATCCGCATCGCCTACAGAACGGACGGTCATCTGCTGAATCACCGGCGCATGAACTTCCAATCGCGTGTATCCACAGCCACCGTGCACGAACTCCTCTTCGCTGACGACTGCGCCCTGAACACCGCCTTGGAAGAGGAGATGCAACGGAGCATGGACCTATTCTCCGCCACCTGCGAGAACTTTGGGCTGGTCATTAACACGCAGAAGACGGTGGTGATGCACCAACCGCCGCCCAACTCAGCCACAGCCACCAACGCGCCGCCGCAAATCAGCGTGAACGGAACCCAACTGCAAGTGGTGGAGAACTTCCCGTACCTGGGCAGTACCCTCTCCCGGAACACCAAGATCGACGACGAAGTCGCCAACAGGATATCGAACGCCAGTCAAGCCTTCGGTCGTCTCCGTAGCACGGTTTGGAATCGTCATGGTCTCCAACTGAGCACGAAGCTGAAGATGTACAAGGCCGTCATCCTGCCGACGTTATTGTACGGAGCAGAGACATGGACGGTGTACACGAGGCAGGCACGTCGACTGAACCACTTCCACCTCAGTTGTCTCCGTTGCATCCTGAGGCTGAACTGGCAGGATCGAATCCCCGACACGGAAGTACTGGAACGAACGGGAATCCCCAGCATCTACGTCATACTGAAACAAATGCAGCTGCGCTGGAGCGGCCACCTGGTGCGCATGGACGACGAGCGACTACCCAAACGACTCTTCTACGGATTCGTCGCGACGGGTTCTCGCCGTCAAGGAGGCCAGATTCGCCGTTACAAGGATACCCTGAAGTCCTCCCTGAAGCGCCTGCAAATCAACCCGACCAACTGGGAAGAGCTCGCTCACGATCGTCCGACATGGAGGAGAACAGTGAAGACGGGCGCTGCTATCTATGAAGCCAACCGAATCGCCGCCGCCGAAGCGAATCGCGAAGCCCGCAAATCATAACTTCGCCCAATACGCAACGCCGCCGCACAACCTCTCCCTACGTGTCCTCGATGCCACCAGACATTCCGGGCACGAATCGGACTTGTTGGACATCTTCGAACCAACTGCACCTCTCGAACTGCCCCAGCCTCCGTCCCCCCGCCCGCCTCTTCCTCGTCCTTTCTGCCGCCAACTAACTCTGACACTCCTTCTGCACCACCAATTCCATCCTCCCCATTCTCCTCCACTTCCCCAGCGGTGCCCGTTCAGACTGCCGTCTCACACATCGCCAACCACGACACAACAACAGCAACCACCCCCACCCCTCCCGATTCCAGTGATGAGGATCAGGACTACACCTGCCCTCACTGTGACCGCACCTTCACCTCACACATCGTCCTGGTCGGTCACTTGCGAATCCATCGCACAGAGACTGGCGAACCAGTGCCTGGAGCACCAACCTACACCCACCGCACTCGTCTCTACTGTCCACAATGCCCTCGCACCTTCACTCATCGCATGGGTCTATTCGGCCACATGCGCATCCACGAGAGCGAAATTGACCGCAGCCTTGACACACCCATCCCGCCGAGCCCCACTCCCAATCCACCGCCTTGTGCACCCACTAAACACTCCCCTGCCGACATTGACGCCACCGTCCTTACCACCCCTCACTCCTCCCCTTCTTCCTCCTTCTCTTCCTCCATCACTGCCACAACGACGGCCGCTTCGGCGTCTGTCGCCCACGACCTCACCACAGCCGAACCTGACACAACAACAGGCACAAGCCCTGCAACCTCCATCATCAGACGTGAGGGCCAGGACCACATCTGCCCTCACTGCGATCGCACTTTCACTTCACGCATCGGCCTGGTCGGTCACTTGCGAATCCATCGCACAGAGACTGGCGAACCAGTGCCTGGAGCACCAACCTACACTCACCGCACTCGCCTCCACTGCCCACACTGCCCTCGCACCTTCACGCATCGCATGGGTCTATTCGGCCACTTGCGCACCCACGAGAGCGGAATTAGCCACAATTCCGATACTGCCGCGACATCCAACACATCCACCACGCCCAGACCCATCCTCGCTCCATCGTCACACGCGCCGACCACCACCACCACCGCCACCACCACCAACACCACTGCTTCCT